ACCTCCCTTCAGGTAGCTGTAGAGGGCAATAAGGTCTCTTCTCAGCCTCCTCTTCTCCAGGATAAACAACCCCGGTTCCCTCAGCTGCTCCTCATCAAACTTGTGCTCCAGATCCCTCACCAGCTTTGCTGTCCTTCTCTGGACATGCTCCAGCGCCTCCATGTCCGTCTTCTTGGTCAGGGGCCCAAAACTGAACACAGGATTCAAGGTGTGGCCTTGCCAATGCCATGTACGGGGGGAGGATGACTTCCCTACTCCTGCTGGTCATGCAATTTCTGATACAAGCCAGGATGCCATTGGCCCTCTTGGCCACCTGTATGCACTGCTGGCTCATATTCAATCAGTTATCGACCAGAAACCCCAGATCCCTTTCTGCCAAGCAGCTTTTCAGCCACTCGTCCCCAAGCCTGTAGCATTGCATGGGGTTGTTGCAACCCGAGTGCAGGACCCGGCACTTGGCCTTGTTGAATCTCATACAATTGGCTGCAGCCCATTGATCCAGCCTGTCCAGGTCCCTGTGTAGAGCCTTCTTAGCCTCAAGCAGATCAACACTCCCGCCGAGCTTAGGGTCATCTGCAAACTTGCTGAGGGTACACACAATCCCCTCGTCCTTGTTGTTGATAAAGATGTTAAACAGAACTGGCCCCAACACTGAGCCCTGCAGAACATGACTTGTGACCGGCCTCCAACTGGATTTAACTTAATTCACCACCGCCCTTTGGGCCTGGCCTTCCAGCCAGTTTTTTACCCAGCAAAGAATATGTCTGTCCAGGCCATGGGCAGCCAGTTTCTCAAGCAGAACGCTGGGGGGCACTTGGCCTTATTGAATCTCATACAGTTGGCCTCCACCCATCGATCCATCATCCACTAAGTGGGTCACTTGGCCACAGAAGGAGATCAGGTTAGTCAAGCAGGATCTGGCTTTCATAAACCCATGTTGACTGGGCCTGATCTTCTGGTTATCCTAGACGTGCTGTGTGATGGCACTCAAGATGATCCTTGACCTTCCCTGGCACCAAGGTCAGACTGACAGGCCTGTAGTTCCCCAGATCCTCCCTCTGGCCTTTCTTGTAAATGGGCATCACATTTGCCAACCGCCAGTCAAGTGGAACTTCCCTAGTCATCCAGCACTGCTGAGAGATGATGGGAAGGGCCTTGTTGAGCACCTCTGCCAGCTCCTTCAGTACCCTTGGGTGGACCCCATCTGGCTCCATAGACTTTTGTGTATGTCTAATTGGCCGAGCAGGTAACTAGCGATTTCCTCTTGGATCATGGGAGCTTTGTTCTGCTCCCTGTCTTCTGGCTCAGGGAGCTGGGTACCCAGGGAACAGCTGACCTTACTCTTAAAGACTGAGGCAAAGAAGGCATTAAGTACCTCAGCCTTAGCCCCATCCTTTGTCACTGTGGTTCCTCTTGCATCTAGGAAAAGATGGAGATTCTCCTTGGCTCTCCTTTTGTTGTTAATGTATTTATAGAAACATTTTTTATTATGTTTCACAGAATTGGCCAATTTAAGTTCTACCTGGACTTTAGCCTTTCTAATTCTCTCTTTGCATGACCTAATAATAATAATAAAGCTTGGTACTATGGGAATTTTTTGATGGAGTTTAGGTATAGGAAAGATAATTCTTTTTTCAGCCATAACTCAGAGTGTACTGAGTCAACAACAGCAGTGACGAATAGTAAGAAGTCAGAAGACACGAATAGTGTCTAAATCGTATGTCTTATGTATTTGCATTTGAATGAAAGATATAAAATGTGCAAGAAGTCTGGTTTTGGAAGAATAGTGTTTATGTCATATAATCCTGCTTTTACTGTATCTTTAAATGCAAATAAACTTAGGAAAGGTAGTATTTAAAGTTTCCATGCTATATATACTCTAGATTACTACAAAACTGTATGCTTAACTTATTAAAACATTGCAGATGAGTTGTGTCTTTTCATGGCATACTAGTGGTTGTATTTTGAGTTCAGTGATGTGTGTGTGTTTCTGAGATGAAACAAATACAAGCCTTGTTGACAATGATAAAAGCAGGATTTGACATTCCTTGAAAACATGTAGTAGTTAATATGGTGGGATTTGAGTTTTCCCTTCCTGTTGCTGTTGGTGTCAATGTTACAGTTGGTGTCAACTAACTCATAGTCAGCCAGTTAAACCAGTTTTGGGTTTTGGTTGGATATTTTAGTCTGAGGTAAGGGGTTTCTACTCCTGCTATTGCTTGGCTTGAGCATGGGACCAACAGTTCCAGGAGTGGACTTAAATAGAGGCAGGGAAGCAGAGTCCCCAACAGTGAGTTTCCCATGGGATGGAGGTCTCTGAATGTGGCGCATTGATGTGCTCACCTCTCACTGTGTGGTATTTCTCTCATCTCTGCAGAATATTATATTCCTGCATAAGAGGAGCAGTAAAGTTTTGGAGCCCAGCCAGGTCCAAACATTGTTTCTAGAACTATTATATAAGACAACAAATACTAATGGCCAAAATATCTTCACTGAAAATAAATAAATTGTATACCCTGCTAAATCTTATGAGCTTTTCTTAGGAGCAAACCTGAGATTTTCATTTAATGGGTTGTCTCATTTCAAGCTGCTAAAAGCTTGCAAGGAAAATGGTGGTTGAAAATGGTGGTTTTCACAGAATTGCAAGGGTTGGAAGGGACCTTGGGAGATCACCCAGTCCAACCCCCCTGCTAGAGCAGGTTCTCCTAGAGCATTCTACACAGGACTTCGTCCAGGCGGGCTTTGAATATCTCCAGAGAAGGAGACTCCACAACACCCCTGGGCAGCCTGTTCCAGTGCTCCGTCACACTCAGAGTAAAGTTCTTCCTCATGTTCAACTGAAACCTCTTATGTTTCAGTTTGTACCCATTGCCCCTTGTCCTGTTGCTGAGCACCACTGAGAAGAGTCTGGCTTCATCCTCGTGGCTTCCACCCTTAAGATATTTCTATGTGTTGATGAGGTCCCCTCTCAGTCTTCTCTTCTTCAGGCTGAACAAGCCCAACTCTCTCAGCCTTTCCTTGTAGGGGAGATGCTCCAGTCTGTTTATCATCCTAGTTTCTCTCCTCTGGACTCTTTCTAGGAGTTCCTCATCTTTCTTGAGTTGTGGAGCCCAGAACTCGACACAAGTGCTCCAGGTGGGGTCTCACCAGGGCAGAGTAGAGGGGGAGGAAAACCTCCCTCGACCTGCTGGCCACACTCCTCTTAATGCACCCCAGGATACCATTGGGCTTCTTGGCAACAAGGGCACACTGCTGGTTCATGGTCAGCTTGTCATCCACCAGGACTCCCAGGTCCCTCTCAGCAGAGCTGCTTTCCAGCAGGTCAGCCCCCAGCCTGTACTGGTGCATGGGGTTCAACCTCCCCAGGTGCATCACTCGACACTTGCCCTTGTTGAACTTCATCAGGTTCCTCTCCGCCCAGCTCTCCAGCCTGTCATCTTCTGTTGATTCTTATGCTACAGCATTGCCAGTTTGTATTGATGGAGAGAAGTTGAACTGTTTCATCTACTTCTGTTCTTTAGCTTGAATGAAATGGAAAAAAGTAATCACACACCATTAGTAAACTCCCAGTGGGTTCATGTACTGTAATCTCTCTTTCCATTTTGATACTTTCAAGGACATGTTTAAACAAAACACCTTAATTCTGCTTCCAGTGCAATCTGTTTTCTTTTGTCTGTCATATTAATCAGGAGCAGAATTATGCCTGTATAGCTTATTCTGATACTGTTCACTCTAATGCAAAAGTAGTAATGATGGGGAAAACGTCAGTGTATCAGTGTGGGACTTTTCTGTTTAAGAAATAATTTTAAGACTTTTTGGCTAGTGGTCACTTAGCACTGTTGTGCTAAGTGTAGCTCTGTGGCCCTGTGCTGCAGTCTCATCGGTCTTTTCCACCTCCTTTCTGCCCTGCTCTCCCCTGTATTTCTTCTTTCTTCAGTAATTTTCCTACAGGGAAGAGCTGTCCTCTAGAAGTCTTTTTTGAGACTTCCAAGGAAAGAATTGCAGTGAAACAATCTGCTTGATACTTTGGGGAAAATGAAGAAAACTAGTTGGCCGTGTTGCACAAGTTTCCTCCTGAACAATTCCAAGTATTTGAAGACTCGAGATCTTTCATTTTCAGTTTCTTTAAAAGCAGGTCCCCCAAAGTGGCTCTGGGATGGATATAGGATGAACTTATTTTGCAAGTGGGGAAAACAAACAGAAAACCCAGTGTACTGTAACTATCCTTGTTTGTTTAGGAAATTAAAGTGATCTCTATTTCAGTCAGGTCAGTTCTCAAGAGTGTACAGGAAAACTGATAATTTGCTGAAGGATTTCCTTTTGGGTTTCCAGTGACATGTTTGGTTACCATAACACTGCTGTTTTGACCTGATGAACACAGCTGTAAGGCTGAAGATTAAGTTTTAGGGGACTGGTGTTTTTTGGTTTTTTTTTTTTTTTTTTTTAGTTTGTGTGTTTTGTTTTGTTTTGAACACTAAAGAAATGTCGTGATGGCTGGTGTGTTGGTCACACTGACATTTGCAGAAACGCTGCCAGAACTGTATTTATGAAGTGTGTGAAAGTATCCCAAGAGTAGAATGTATCAAAACAGCTACACTGCAAGCGTTGGAAAAGGAGCAAACTTTGTATTCTTTAACAACAGTGTTTAATACTTCTTTGGAAAAAGTTACTTGCTGTGAACACAGCTCTCTGGAGCCTGGAAGCCTTCTTACCTCAAGGGCAGAAATAATATTTCAGTTTTCAGGCCATTGCATTTGTACCAGATGAGTTTTGAACACAAATTACCATATTACTGATTTGACATTCTTTATTGTGTGGCTGAATAACAGAGCTGAAATCAGCAGATTTTACAAGTGTCATCAAAGCAGATTTTATTTCAATTAGGAAGTGCTTTTGATGTTTTTCAACAAACTGGTTTTGGATTAATTGAATTAATGTGGGGTGAATGTTAATGGACTAATGAGTTAATTAGTGCCTTCTCTTTTTGCCTTTTGATACAGGAATCAGGAACTTAAAGACTTGGGAGAGCTTGCTCCTCACTGGGACAATATGCGCAAAAGCGTTATTGCTCACTGTGATCAGATGTTGAGCATGTACCAGGATACTCTTGCAGAGCTTGGGAAGCATACAGGTATGAAAGTTGCCTCTCTTCCTCTGGAGCAGTTAAGAATTAACTGGATTTATTGTCATTAGTAGTGGCATATTCGGCAGAAATAAAATGTAAAAATGAAATATTTGTAATGATTGTACTTTTTAAATACTCACAGGTTCCCTGTTTCCTCTTCTAAATGTTTTTTCATGCATTCCATCAGTTTTTCACAGTTAATGTGGTACATGGTTACACAGCAGCAAAAAAAATTGGAAGTGCGTGTATGTTTTAATTGCATATTCCCTTAAATATACTGCTCTGCTAGTATTGAATACCATCTGCTGATTGAAACCAGCCTTAGAGGTAGTTTTGTCAGTTTTTATTGAAACCTAACTTAAGTTACATTTAAACAGTCTACAGGATAACAGTAAGATCTAGCTATGCTTTGCATAGCCTTAGTGTAGTAGTTGTCATTGCTCACATTGTGCCAGAAAAGCACAGAATTAATATGGGATGGGCAAGTCTGTCTTCAGTCCAGAAATAGCAGTATGTCCTGCCTTGCTTTTTTTCCTGTGGAGACAGTGGTCTTATATTCTGATGTGCACTGGGTGCTTGTTCGGTTAATATTTGCTGGAGTCCTGTGGTCAGGGACTGTAATATATGTGATGTCTGCATGCCAGTGCATTAAGACAGCACCAGTGACAAATGTGCAGAAAAGGCAGCTGGTCTTTTCCTCCTGTAGCGATTCTTACTCATAAAAAGAACAAGAAAACACTGCAGAACAAATTAGTTCTTCTTTTGAATTTATTCCCTTTTGTTTGTTCACAAATCATTCAAGGAACTTATGATAATTCTTTTCTATTTTGTGAGACTACTGCAATTATTTCCTGAATAACACTGTATTTTGAGCAAACAAAAATTTCGGTCTGTTCATAGCATGACTTTCTGCCTCTTCCTGCTGGTGTGCCACGACCCTCAGTTTTTGAGGTGTTCTGGAAGGAAATGGGCGCATTTGCTCTGAATTACTACAAAGGCCTTGTTGTTAGTTGCTTTCTTGCTGGTGTCAGATTTCTAACACTGGTCCTCATAATGACCATCTCAAATCCTTGTTTTTGATGACCATGCTGCTGTTATTGCTTGTATATGCTGTTTTACTCTCTATTCTCGCCAGCTGTGTGTGTGTAGGCATAGCAATGCGTGTCAGAGGTAAATACTGTGCATTGTGTTACATATACATCAGTTTGCAACCTAGAATATTTCTGAAAAAGGGGTATGTTACAGTTATGAATATTTGTAAAAAATAGAGGTATAAACGATGATAACATCTTTGAAAATATCTAATATATATTTAGGGAGAATTCGCAGTATTTTCTTAATTATTTCTAGTTTTCTATACAGACCAAACAAAACTTTGTGTGTGTGTACTGAGTAATAGAGCAATCAGCTTTTAGTTCAATATACAACTAAAATGCATAGCAGAATAATTTCTTCTTGTAGAGAATTGAGTGCGT